GGGCAGACCGAACGCTCTACGCCGGCCCACGCAGGGTGGCGGTCACCGCGGGCCCCACGCTCGCTGGGCTTGTCCGCATGTGGTGTGGACCTGGGGCTCCACGGGCGGCCTGTGGTCCTGGGGCGGCGTGCTGGGCACCCCACGCCGGAGCCGGGGTGTTCCTGCTCACATAGGACGGCGCGGACGTGATGGGACTGGGCCTCCCGCCTGCCCAGGGGAACCACGCCGTGCCCTTATTGGGTCATCCTCAGAGCACGGCCCCTGAACAGGACAGCTTATCCGGGCCTCAAGCAGCCGCGGCGCCCGGGCCCTGGGCCCGAGGGGCTGCGGAGGCCGAGCAGACAGGCCCGCCGCTCATAGACCCGCTGTCGGCAGACGAGAGCTCCCGCATGGCCACAGGGACAGGGCTCCTTCCGGGGGCCCAGCGAGTCCGTCCCATCGTAGAGAGGCCTGCCTTCAGATTGCTCTAGAAACACAGCTGGAGGGTCTCTGCTGACATCCGTAAATGACTCATGAGCTCATAGACAGAAGGGCTATTGTCTCCCCCAGCAGAGCGCCAGGGAACTGCCAGGGGAGCGGGCAGGTGTAAGGGCAGCGTTGCTCCCGGGGGGAGGGATGGAGGGGGGCACACACCCAGCCTCACATGGCATTGTGACTGCTGTGTCCCTAACCGGGCTTCTCTCCCCTCCTCCAGGCAAGAACGTGGTGCACCAGCTGTCTGTGACGCTTGAAGATTTGTATAACGGGGTCACGAAGAAATTGGCCCTCCAGAAAAATATAATTTGTGATAAATGTGAAGGTACATCCCTCAGATCCACAGCAGTTGTGATTTTTAAAAAATATATATTTTATTGATTTTTTTTTTTTTTTTTTTTTTTACAGAGAGAAAGAGAGAGGGATAGAGAGAAACATCGATGAGAGAGAATCATCGATCAGCTGCCTCCTGCACACCCCCCACCGGGGATGTGCCCGCAACCAAGGTCCATGCCTTTGACCGGAATCGAACCCGGGAACCTTTCAGTCCGCAGGCCGGCGCTCTATCCACTGAGCCACACCGGCTTCGGCCGCTGCGATGGTTTTAAGTTCGGAGGAAGACAGTCTCGTCTTCTCAGATGGGCACGGGGCCCCGGGGACCCTGGTCTCGCCCGAGGACAGGCCGTGCCCTCCCTGGGGTGGGAGGAGGCACCCGCGACGGGGCTTTCGTGGTGACCTCGGCCCACGCGGCCTGTGCTTATGAACTGTCAGAATTCACACCCCGGGGAGCGGCGCAGCTCACGCCCTGCGCCCCCCTCCGCCCCCCCAGGTATCGGCGGGAAGAAGGGCTCCGTGGAGAAGTGCCCGGTGTGCAAGGGCCGCGGCGTGCAGGTGCACGTCCAGCAGATCGGGCCGGGCATGGTGCAGCAGATCCAGACCATGTGCATCGAGTGCAAGGGCCAGGGCGAGCGCATCAGCCCCCAGGACCGCTGCGAGGGATGTGGGGGCGCCAAGGTGGTGCTGGAAAAGAAGGTCATCGAGGTGCACGTGGAGAGAGGTGAGCCGCCGCCCCCGCCCCCCCGCCCCTCCCCCCCCGGGGGGGGCTGGGCGCGGCGCGGGCGGCCGGAGAGCGCTAACCAGCAAGGGCGCTGTTCCCTAGGCATGAAGGATGGGCAAAAGATTCTGTTTCACGGAGAAGGCGACCAGGAGCCTGAGCTGGAGCCTGGGGATGTCATAATTGTGCTTGATCAGAAGGATCATAGTGTCTTTCAGAGGCGAGGCCACGACCTGATCATGAAAATGAAAGTCCAGCTCTCCGAGGCCCTCTGTGGCTTCCAGAAGACGGTAACCACCCTGGACGGCCGCGTCCTGGTCATTACGTCCAAGCCAGGTACTGCCGCCGCTGCCCCCGCCGCGGGCCCGGGCAGGCCGCCGGCCGCGCAGCCCGCCTCCCCGCACGGCGGCCTGCGCCACGCAGGCCAGTGACGCGATCCGTCTAAGCCCAGGCACCGGGGCAGGAGGATGCGTGGGCTAAAGCGAGCCTCTCCCGCGGCAGGTGAGGTGATCAAGCACGGGGACCTCAAGTGCGTGCGCCACGAGGGGATGCCCGTCTACAAGGCACCCCTGGAGCGAGGCAGCCTGGTGGTGCAGTTCCTGGTGAGTGCCCGCCGAGCCCCTGCGCCCCCCCCCGCTCCTGGGCCCCTGGGACACGCGCCCCTGGGAACCCCCCCGCTCTGGGCCCCCGAGCTCCTGGGACCCCCCCCTGTTCCTGGGACACCCCAGCTCCTGGGACTCCCCCCCCGTTCCTGGGACACCCCAGCTCCTGGGACCCCCCCCTGTTCCTGGGACACCCCAGCTCCTGGGACCCCCCCCCTGTTCCTGGGACACCCCAGCTCCTGGGACCCCCCCCCCCCCCCGCTCCTGGGCCCCTGGGACACACACCCCCCCCCCCCGCCCCGGGTCCCCGCACTCCTGGGACCCCCCCCCCGTTCCTGGGACACCCCAGCTCCTGGGACCCCCCCCCCGTTCCTGGGACACCCCAGCTCCTGGGACCCCCCCGTTCCTGGGACACCCCAGCTCCTGGGACCCCCCCGTTCCTGGGACACCCCAGCTCCTGGGACCCCCCACGTTCCTGGGACCACCCCCCGTTCCTGGGACCCCCCCATTCCTGGGACACCCCAGCTCCTGGGACCCCCCCCCGTTCCTGGGACACCCCAGCTCCTGGGACTCCCCCGTTCCTGGGACACCCCAGCTCCTGGGACCCCCCCATTCCTGGGACACCCCAGCTCCTGGGACCCCCCCGTTCCTAGGACACCCCAGCTCCTGGGACCCCCGGGCCCGGGACCACGCGCCCCTGGGACATGGGCTCGGCCAGGCGGAAGCCACACCTCCTCCCTCCCGCCCAGGTCGTCTTCCCCGAGCAGCTGTGGCTGCCCCTGGACAAGCTGCCCCAGCTGGAGGCCCTGCTGCCCCCGCGGCAGCCGGTGGCCGTGACGGAGGACATGGAGCAGGCGGAGCTGCAGGAGTTCAGCCCCAGCGACCAGAGCTGGCGCCAGCACCGCGAGCCCTACGAGGAGGACGAGGAGGGGCCCCGGGGCGGCGTGCAGTGCCAGACGGCCTGACCCCACGGCCGCGGGCGCCTGCGCGTTCGCATTCCCAGCGGCTGCGTGTCTCTCTGGGTTTTCTTCTGGTTGTGACCTAAGTTATAGCTTAATTTATATTTAAATGTTCCGAGTGTAACCCTCCTCTCGTCTGCACGTGGCATCTGTTTGTTCAAGCGTTCAGGACCCACCGGGGCCGGGACCACACAGGCGTCTCCCAATGGCTTTGCCGTCACTCAGTCCCATCCAGCCCGGCCCAGCCCGGCCCGCAGCCTCCGCCCGCCCGGCCTCCGGGCACCACCGGGCCCGGCCGGCTCGGGTCTGGGCTGCTCCTGCGGCTGGGCCTCGAGGACGAGAGCACATGTGGGCGGCCTGGTTCCCCTGGACGGGCTGCACCCGAGGGCCCGGATGGGGTGCACGGCTGACCCCCGGTGAGACGCCTGTGTGTGCCTGTGCCCCACACCCGTCCTGTGTGTTCTGCTGCTTTTCTGTTGACGTTTGCAATGCTCCCACCAAAGTGCTTCCTTGTAAGATGGACCTCCCGCGGCCCCAGCAGCTTCCGTGCAGCCACACGGCCGAGGCCGGGGCGGGGAGGACGAGGGCTTGGGCCCGGGCCCAGGGCACGGCCCGCTTCCTGGATGTCTTGAGGGTCTGGAGAGGCACAGGCCGGGTTCCCCCTCATTCTCCCCAACCAGCCCCTCTCCCCGCACAGCCATGCAGGGCTCTGCTCGCCGCCATCCGGGACCCACACTGACCGCCGTCCGGGGTGGGCGCCTGCTGCCAGTGGCGGCCTGTGAGGGGCTGTCGGGCAGTAACGCATTCCTGGCAGGTAGACTAGGTCAGCCTCTCCTGACGCTTTCCCTCCCAAAGTCCTTACAAGCACTACCCTCTAAGCCGCTGGTCAGAACAGAGGCCTGGTCACGCAGCACCCCGCCGGCTCTGGCCAGGACCCTCGGGGAGGGGGTGGGTAGAGGGGCCCCTGAGCCCTGTGGTCGCTGTCAGGACAGACGTGGAACCTTGGTCTTCCCCCCCCAGCCTGTGGACACCACGTTCAGGCGTCGCCTCCAAAGGAATCGCTGCTGGAGGCGTGGAGGCGGGGTCTGGAGGGTGTCACTGTCCCCGCCTGTGCCTGTACCCGTGGCGTCACCATTAAAGCTGAGCTGTATGAGGCGTGGCTGTGCTTTCCTTTCCAGGCCTGGGGGGGCGGTGCTGAGGCAGCCTGCCTCACAGTGGACGCCAGAGTGACGGTCCACTCACAGAGCGTCCATCTGGGGGTCAACGGCCCCGGCAGGTGGGGGAACGGGAGAGCGGGCGAGCCTCATCCTGGACAAGCTCAATGCCAGCTACACCTGCCTGCATTCACTCGCAGACGGGGCAGCCTCGGGGCACCCCGGGTGTGGGCGGGGCCCGGGGTGCTGGCAGAGCCTGGGCATTTAGGCAGCAGTGAGAGGCTCCCGAGATGAGCAGGTGAGGCAGAGTGGCCAGGGCCATCACCAACAGCAGGCAGGAGGCTGCCCGACGGGAAGGCCTGCAGGGCATCCCCCCAGCAGACACCCCACTTGCTTTAGGGCCGTTCTGGACGGATCCGCTCCCTCCCAGCTCCCGCAGACCCGGCCTGGGCCCTCGGGAGCCTATTTCTGGGCGGGAGACTGGAGGCTCCCGGGCCTGCCTCTGAGGCCCGCACTGCCACACAGACGCCGGCTCCCAGCTCTGCCCCGGGCCGGGCACGCGGAGAAGGAGCAGGTCCCAGAAGTGGGCGTGGGCACGGACAACACCGGGCATTAAAGCACGAACGGCACCTCCAATAGAACATGAAAATATTTATGTCGTATCTACACTCGTGGCCTCTGCCAGGACAGAGGCCGTGCCTTCCGCTCGAAGGCAGGAATGTCGAGTTCAGTCCGCACGCCTGCGCCCGCGGGGGGCTCAGATGGGGCAGTCGTAGACGTGAATCTCCTGGTCGTCTCCAACCGACACGATTTTTGAGCCGTTTCCGTTGTACCTCACCCCCCAGACCTGCAAACACAGCGGAGAAAGGGCCTCCTGACGCCCGTGTTCACAAGCCAGCGTCCCACATGCGTCTCCTCCCACTGAGGTGGCCCCTCCCGTTTCCCATGAGCACAGCGTCCTTTCCTCACGCCAACGGCGCCCGTGCCCCAGGGACCAGACGCCTGCCTGCACTCTGGCTTCAAGTTCCAACACCAGCTCCCCCCGGCGAGCTGCCCACAGGACACGGCTGGACGGGTCCGAGCCCAGCAGCTCAGAGCCGGTCCCCTAACGCCCCTGACGGCCAGCAGCCCGGTCAGGAGGGGCCGGCAGGCCCGGGGCCGTACCTGATCCTGGTGATCGAAGAAGGTGTGAACACACGTCCTCGTCCCCGCGTCCCACACTTTCACACTCTTGTCCGACGAGCTTCACGGAAGAGGGGACAGAGGTGTCAGAACCCGGGGTCCGGTCTGACGGGAGCAATCTGACTCGAGATCCCGGACTCTCTTGTCGGAGGCCTCCCGCCCGGACCCTGACCCTGGCCCTGACCCTGACCCTGACCCTGACTCTGACCGGCCCAGCCGCACGGCGGGGTTCCCGCCAGGAGCCCCCATCCCTTAGCTAACTGCAGGCGGAGCCCTGATCCACACGCGTCTGCCTGAGCGGAGCGCAGCTAACGCCCCCCCTTACGGGACACCGCGGTGAGCGGGGCGGCGCGCGGCTATACAGACCTGGAGACAAAGTGCGTGTTGTCCGGACAGAAGGCCACGTTCAGCACCCAGGACCCGTGGCCGCTCAGGGTGCCCGCCAGGTTGGCATGTTGTCTGAAACAGGAATGGGCCCAATGCGGACGCACGTGACTGGCTGCCCGCTGACCTGGCCCCCTGCCCCCCACAGCGACAGCCCGCGCCCCCCACTCAGGCCCCCGGGAGGGAAAGGGCACACGGCACCGACCCAGAGCCACTGGCGCCAGGCAAAGCCGGGAACGGTCTCGGGCGAGCAGACAGCCGCTCCGAGGCGGGGACCGAGGGTGGGGTGTGGGGGCTCCACCCAGGCTGCACCCCCCTGCAGGTGCCCACCACCCACATGGCTTGGCGAGAACACTTTAAAAACATACACCCAGTGGCCAGATAGAGACAATGTCTGAACGCATAATCATCTGGCCACTCCGTGTCTGTCCTATAGAATAAAAGGCTCATGTGCACATGGTCCCCTCGACCAGGAGTGCGACCAGCAGGCAGGCCGGCCAACCACCCCTGTCCCCTCCCCCTGGCCAGGCTGGCTGGACCCCACCCATGCACGGATTCATGCACCAGACCTCTAATTATATATATATATATATATATATATATATATATATATATATATATATATATATAATCGATATATATATATATTATATAACACACACAGACACACACAGACACACACACACACTCTGAGCGGCCAGATGATGATGATCTCTGAACGCATAACCATCTGGCCACTCAGTGTACTTCTCTTGAGCACCTCATCGATTGGATATCAAAGACACTATAAATCAAGCACCTGATCAGTGCTCCCTTTTGCACTGGCTGATAGAAGCTCAGGGCAAACAGGTGGTTGATCTCCGGCCAAAATCTAGAATACTTTTGGGATCCATTTGAGATACAAATACACGGAGCGGACAGATGGTTATGCGTTCAGAGACCATCGTCATCTGGCCCCTCAGTGTATGTATTGCCCTGGCTGCTGTGGCTCAGTGGATAGAGCATCGGCCTGCGGACTGAAGGGTCCCGGGTTCGATCCCCAGTGAGGGGCGTGCAGGAGGCAGCCTCCTGGACACCCACACGCCCTGTCCCGTGTGGCCGGACACGCGTCCTCAGCACCAGGAGCCCAGTTCGGTAGCGACTCACACGTCGTAGATCTTGATGTAGCCGTCGTCCGAGGCCGTGACGAGCAGCTGGGAGTCCGGGGAGAAGGTCAGGGAGCGGATGGGCATGGCGTGGCCTGGAACCACAGGCCTCGTGAGCTGGGGTCACCGTCCCCCCCCCCCCAGCCCCCCACGCTGCCCCGCTCTGCCCTCGGACGAGGCCGAGTGCCCTCCTAGGTGCCCGTCAGAGGGACGCAGAGGCCCTGCCTCCCGTGGCTGGACGCCCCGTCCCCAAGGCCCTGCCCCTGAGTTTCTCTTCAGCTCCCCTCGACCAGAGACCTCAGCACTCGGCTCAGAACAGCCGCTCGGCGCGGGCGAGGCCGCACAGACCCGGGGCCTTCGGCCCGAACAGGAGCCGCCTGCCTGCCTACCCCCGCCTGGGAGGACGCGCTGAGGAGGGCAGCTCCCTGGGCTGCCTCCGAGCAGAGCGGCCCCTTTCCAGGCCCAGCCCCTGCCCAGGCCCCAGTGGGGGGGGGCGCAGGGCTTGGAGCGGGCTGGACAGAACGAGCCGCGTGCAGCGGGAACCAACGGGGCCGGGAGGTGACCCAGGGTCAGTGCACCTGGAGGCCGGAGCAGCGCGCCAAGGCCGGCCGCTCCGGCCCCCCCTCCCCGCTCTCCCCTCCCCCCTCCCCTCCCCCCGCGGCCGCAGGGCCCCTGGACCAGGCGCGCACCCTCCAGCGTGTGCAGCAGCTTCCCGGTCGCGATGTCGAAGATGTTGATGATGCCGTCGATGGCGCCGCTGGCCAGGTACTTCCCGTCGGGGCTCTGCGCACGGAACACGGGCCCGTGAGGCCGCGTCGGGCCGGCCCGCACGCCCCCAGGGGCCCGGGGACGCGGCTCCTTACGTAGGCGATGCTGAGGATGAACTTGCCGCGGGTGTCCAGCGAGTACTCCTTCTTCCCGCTCTCTACCCCGAAGATGTTCACCTTCCCCACGTGCGTGCCCGTGGCCAGGTGCTGGGAGTCGGGCGAGAAGGCCAGCGTCCAGGCGTCCACTGCGCGGGCGGAGGGAGGGGGACGGGCGGTGAGAGGAGCAGCCCCCGCCCCGAACGCCAGGCCGAGGGGGCGATGGCGGAGGCCCCCCCCAGCCGCACCCCGGCCCCGCGTGTCCCCCAGCTCCCGCCGCAGGAGCCGCGGCCCGGAGCCGGGCCTCGGGGCGCCCTCGGGTGCCGTCTGCCGGGGACTCACCCGGCCCCGCGTCGATGGACTTGATCTGCTTGCCGTTCTCCAGGTCCCAGAGCCGGATGTGGGCGTCCAGGGAGCTGGAGGCGGCCACGGGCAGCGTGTGGCTGATGTCCACGGACACGACGCCCAGCTGGTGGCCCTCCAGGCTCCACTGCAGCTCCAGCCGCTCGTCACGCCTCGGGGGACAGAGACCGTTCGTCGAGCCCCGCCCCGGCCTGCACGCCCGGCCCCGGCCACGCGTGGCCAGAGTCTGCAGGAGGGGGGCTCGGGGGCGTGAGGGGCCCAGGCACCGAAGGCAGCCAAGGGCGACCCTGAGGTGAGGACCCTACAGACACCACCTGCCCACCCGCCCTCCCACACTGCCCACTCAACCACCCACCCTGCCCACCGGCCACCCGCACTGCCCACTCACCTACCCTCACTGCCCATCGGCCACCCTCACTGCCCACCCGCCCACCAGGCCCCCCCTGCCACCCGCACTGCCCCCCAGGCCACATTTTCCGGCCTAGAAAACAGGGAGCCCTCTCCCGACCGCACCGGGGGACGCACCCCCTGACCCCGTCCCCCAGGCCGCCGTCGGGGGGCGCTCACCACTTCCAGACCTTCACCAGGTCGTCCAGGGACCCGGTGACCACCGTCTCCGCCAGCTCCTTCTTGTTGGTGCCCCAGGCCACCGACCAGATGGCGTCATCGTGGGCTGCAGCGGGAGCGGCCGTTAGGACGGCCTGGCGCCCCCGTTCCCCTCCCGCAGGCACCACCCGGGTCTGCGTCTGCTCCGCTCGCTGCCCCCGGCCGATGGAGACGGCCCTGCCCTGGCCCCCAGCCTCCGCCGGCATGGCCCGGGGCCAGGTCACCGGGCCGGTTCCCGGACGGAGGGCTGGTCCTTCGTAGGGGCGTACGGGAGGCAGCCAGTGGATGCTTCTCTGTCCTCCCTTCCTCTCTCTCCAATCAATTTTTTATTTTTTATCTTATTTTATATCTTTTATTTATTAAATTATTATCTGTGTACATATTTTAACATTGCCCCCCCCCCAATCAATTTTTTAAATGTTCTTTCAGCCGAAACCGGTTTGGCTCAGCGGTAGAGTGTCGGTCTGCGGACTGAAGGGTCCCGGGTTCGATTCCGGTCAAGGGCATGTGCCTTGGTTGTGGGCACATCCCCAGTGGGGGGTGTGCAGGAGGCAGCTGGTCGATGTTTCTCTCTCATTGACGTTTCTAGCTCTCTATCCCTCTCCCTTCCTCTCTGTAAAAACTCAATAAAATATATTAAAAAAAAAAAAAAAAAAAAAGAAGGGGCAGACTGAGACTCAGAGCCGACCTCGCTGTTAGCAGAGTCCCCCTCGGGCCTGTGTGCAGCGGCCTCTGGCCTCTGGGGGCCACCCCGGCAGCGGGGCGGCTCGGTGGAAGCTTCCAGATGGGAAGGCCTCCGGCCTGCTCTCTGCCACCCCATCTGCGTGGCTGCTGTTAAGTGAAGCCATGATCTTCCCGCAGCGAGTGCACTGGGCATGGCATGCCTGGTCGGCATGACAACAGTTTTTTTTTTTTTTTTAAATATATTTTTATTGATTTTGTACAGAAAGGAAGGGAGAGATAGAGAACTAGAAACATCGATGAGAGAGAGTCATCGACCAGCTGCCTCTTGCACACCCCCTACTGGCGATGTGCCCGCAACCAAGGTCCATGCCCTTGACCGGAATCGAACCAGGACCTTTCAATCCCCAAGCCGACGCTCTATCCACTGAGCAACACCGGTTTCAGCATGACAGCAGTCTTAAAGGAGTAGAGACCCCCGTTCCCACAGGTGAGTGAGGGGCGGGCGGGCTGCTCACCTTGCTCCTGCTTGAAGAGGATGCTGTACTGGAAAGGAACAGACGCCACGTTAGACCAGCGGCCAGAGTTCAGACGTATCGCACCCCCTCCCGCCTCCCCGCCCGCCCCCAAAGATGCAATCCCCCCCACGGTGGCTACTTCCTGTCCCCCTGACTCAGGCCCGTGCAAGATATGCAGGCACACAAGGAACCATTAGTTCTTACAGACACTGGGCCGGCCGGTGTGGCTCAGTGGGTGAGCGCCGACCTAGCAACCAGGAGGTCGGGGTTCGATTCCCGGTCAGGGCACAGGCCCGGGCTGCGGGCTCTATCCCCGGTGTGGGGTGTGCAGGAGGCAGCCGGTCCATGATTTGCTTTCATCATGGATGTTCCTCCCTCTCCCTCACTCTCTGAAATCAATAAAATGTATTTTTTTTTTTTTTAAAGAAAAAGCCGAAACCGGTTTGGCTCAGTGGATAGAGCGTCGGCCTGCGGACTGAAAGGTCCCGAGTTCGATTCCGGTCAAGGGCATGGACCTTGGTTGCGGGCACATCCCCAGTGGGAGGGTGTGCAGGAGGCAGCTGATGGATGATTCTCTCTCATCGATGTTTCTCTCTATCCCCCTTCCTCTCTGTAAAAATTCAGTAAAACATATTTTTTAAAAAAAAAGGTTCTCCTCTGCTCATCTCCGTTTCCGGTTGCTTTTGTGCACAGATTCTCCCAGCCCCTCACCCCGCTGTGCACCGGGAGATGCTGTGCGGGCGTGGTCAGGAGGAAGCAGGGCCCAGAAGCCGGTGCCCGGCCTCCCACGCCCACCATAGCTCCCCGCACAGCCTCACCTGGTTGGTCATCTCTCAGCCGGGCGAAGGGATCCAGGCCGGGCAGCTCTGCGGGAACACCGCCGGGTCTGAGTGAGTGGGTGCCGTCAGCACGGGGGTCCCCAGGAGGCTCCCCTGACACGTTCCCATTCCCAGGGTGGGTCCCCGGAGCTCCCCTCGCCAGGCTCTTGGCCTCGGCGCCGTGGAATCTGCCTTCAACCCGTTTCCTTCTCTCCAAGCCCAGAGGGGACCGGTCTCTGCCCCCTGCGGCTCTTGAGAGAGAACCACGGGCCTTTATTTATTTACTAGAGACCCGGGGCATGCAATTTATACGTGGGGGCGGGGGGGGGGTGTCCCTCAGTCCAGCCTGCGCCCTCTCGCAGTCCAGGAGCAAACATTCTGCCCGGCTGGGGTGGCTCAGTGACTGAGCCTCAACCTAGGAACCAGGAGGTCAGGGTTCGATTCCCGGTCAGGGCGCAGGCCCGGGTGGCGGGTTCCATCGTCAGTAAGGGGGCGTGCAGGAGGAGGCAGCCGATCCGTGATTCTCTCTCCTCATGGATGTTTCCATCTATCTCTCTCTCTTCCTTTCTGAAAACATCTTTTTTTTGAAAGTAAACATTCTAATTTGGAAACAGCCTAGGTGCCCATCAGCAGGTGAGTGGATTAAAAAACTGGCCCATCTCCACAATGGAATACCGTGCCGCTGTAAAAAAGAAGGCACTTTTGCCGAAACCGGTGTGGCTCAGTGGATAGAGCGTCGGCCTGCGGACTGAAAGGTCCCAGGTTCGATTCCGGTCGGGGGCATGTACATTGGTTTCGGGCACATCCCCGGTAGGGGGTGTGCAAGAGGCAGCTGGTCGATGTTTCTCTCTCATCAACGTTTCTAGCTCTCTCTCTCCCTTCCTCTCTGTAAAAAAAAATAAAATATATTTTAAAAAAAATAAATGATAATAATAATAATAAATAATAATAAAAGAAGGCACTTTTACCATTGGCAGCTGCATGGAAGGATCTGGAGAGCATCGTGCTAAGTGAAATAAGCCAGGCGGGGAAAGATAAATAGCATGTGATCTCACTCATTCGTGGGATAGAACAATGAACATACACTGATGAACAAGAACAGATGCAGAGACAAATTTGGGGGTAGGAGGGGGAGTGGTTAGAGAGCAGCCAAAGGACTTGTACGCAAGCATATGAGCATCACCAATGGACACAGACACAGGGGCCTTGCCTGGGGTGGGAATAGCTGGGGGGTGGGTGTCAACTGGGGGGGGGGGAAAAAAGACATATGCAGCCGAAACCAGTGTGGCTCAGTGGATAGAGCATCAGCCTGCGGACTGAAAGGTCCCAGGTTCGATTCCGGTCAGGGGCATGTACCTTGGTTGTGGGCACATCCCCAGTCGGGGGTGTGCAGGAGGCGGCTGGTCAATGTTTCTAACTCTCTCTCCCTTTCCCTTCCTCTCTGTAAAAAATCAATTATATATATATATATATATATATATATATATATATATATATATATGACATATGCAAAACTTTAGGCAATAAAGTAAACATTCTAGGATGTGCCGAGTCGGGCCCAGCTTTAAGTTCTAGACACTTGGATTAGCTCACTCACCACCCCCCCCCTTCCTCTCCCCTCCTCCTTCCTGACAAGGAAGACAGGGAGGCCAAGCAGGTGGAGACAAGCTCTGACCAGGCCTCCAAGCCCCATCCCCGCTTACGCCAGGCTCTGATACCAACTCATGGCAAACCCTCCTCTGCCCCCGACTTTCCCCCACAACTCCCCAGGCGGAATCCACTGCTCGCTCCTCTGCATTTCCAACACAAAAACAAAATGCACCCCCACCTCCCCGTGCCTCTCGTGGCCCCATCGGGCAGGACGGCCCCCCAAACACCACCTGGTGCTGGGACTACGGATCCGGGCGCGCCGGTGCCTGCCGGTGCCGGGAGGCCCGCTAACTGCGGAGACGGCGTGGCCCTCCTCCCAGGGATCTCGGTTGGGACCGTCCTCCCCCTACGGTGAGATGACCAGACGTCCGGATTTTTAACAATTTGTCCCACATCCGGCGGCGTTTTAAAAAAGCCCTGATGTTTGGAAAGAATGCACGACCAGCTAGGAAACGGCGGGAGAGCGGGAAGGGAATAGACAGTTTTCGGCAGCGGTGCGGCTATGTAGCCAGGATAAGAGTTTTACATTATTTTTGTTCATTTTATCATGTTAAGCTTGAATAACAACAAATAATGGTTGAGAACTGATTATTGAGAGCTGCTTATCAAAGTCCGCATGGTTGATCAGTTGTTAGAATTCACTCAAATGAGAAATATGCCAAAGAATAATACTATACATAACTTTTTAAAATTTATTATGTTTGTAAATTGAACTTAGGCTGAAATTTTTTTAAATATACATTACAATACTATTTTTGCGTTCGATGAAAATTTTTGTTGCTCCATATAGACAAATTTTTATTTTTTAAAAATTTTTAAAAGTATATTTTATTGATTTTTTTTACAGAGAGGAAGGAAGAGGGATAGGAGAGTTAGAAACATCGGAGAGAGAGAAACATCGACCAGCTGCCTCCTGCACACCCCCCACTGGGGATGTGCCCGCAACCAAGGCCCATGCCCCTGACTGGAATCGAACCCGGGACCTTTCAGTCCGCAGGCTGATGCTCCATCCACTGAGCCACACCGGTTAGGGCTATAGACCAAATTTTTAATCAAGAACCTCCACCCCCGCCCCGGGTCAATGGTGTGCCGCCTTACCAACTGGGGAAAAGAAAGACAAATGCAAATGTTAAAATCTGGGCACCTTACCCTCCGGGGACGGGACCCCCGCCCTCACCCCGAGGCCGCCCGGAAGCTGCCCCGACGCCGCGCCCCGAGGGGAGCGGGGCGAGCGGAGTCGCAGAGGCGCCCCGGACCCGCGGCCCGCGGCCTCCGTGAGCGGGGCTGCTGCGGCTCGGGCCCGCCCGGCTCCCCCGCCGTCCCGCCCGGGCCCCCAGCGGCCCCGACGGCGGCCCCGCCACCGGCCGGAGCGCGCGACTCACCCGCTCACGCCCCGACGCACAGTCCCGGCGCGCGAGTCTGACGCAAGCGCCATGCGACCGCGACGCCCGGCTATAGGCGCTTGCGGAGGGGGCGGGGCGTCTCCCAGGGCAACCGCGCACGCGCAGCGCCCTGCCGAAGCCGCGCCTCGGACGTGGGCGGGGATATGCGCGGGGCCACGCCCCCTTTCTGGTGTACTGTCCTGGTGGGTCACGCCCCCTGCCCTAGGGGCGGGGCCTCGGTCTCGGAGGCGCGCAGGTTCGGTTCCGCCAGCTGTGGGTGGGGTCGGGTTTCTCTGTTTCTGCTCTGCTTCTCAGTTCAACACTTTTTAGTGAAATGGAGCTTTTTTTTTTTTTTTTTTTTTTTTTTTTTAAATCTATTTTAGCCAAGACCAGTTTGGCTCAATGGATAGAGCGTCGGCTTGGGGACTGAAGGGTCCCGGGTTCAATTCCGGTCAAGGGCATGTACCTTGGTTGCGGGCATATCCCCAGTAGGGGGTGTGCAAGAGGCAGCTGGTCGATGTTTCTAACTATCTCTCTCCCTTCTTCTCTGTACAAAATCAATAAAATATATTTTTTTAAAAAATAAAAAAAAAATTTAAAAAACCTATTTTATTGATTTTTCATAGAGAGGAAGGGAGAAACATTGATCAGCTGCCTCTTGCACACCTCCCACTGGGGATGTGCCTACAACCAAGGTTCATGCCCTTGACCGGAATCGAACCTGGGACCTTTCAGTCGCAGGCCAGCGTTCTATCCATGGAGCCACACCGGTTTTGGCTGAAATGGGGCTTTGTTTTAAAAACTGCAATTCGGCCCTGGCAGGTCTGGCTCAGTGGTCTCAAGGGTCCTGGGTTCGATTCCGGTCAGGGCTCAAGCCCAGGTTGCAGGCTTGGTCCCCACCAGGAGGCAGCCAGTCGATGATTCCCTCTCATTTCTGTCTCTCTCTTCCTCTCCCTTCCTCTATGAAATCAATAAAAATATGTTTTAAAAAAATAAGAATAAAAAAAAAAACTGCAGGTCATGCCGCCTGGTGTGGCTCCGTGGTTGAACCCTGACCTCTGAACCAGGAGGTCAGAGTTTCATTCCCAGTCAAGGCACATGCCTGCGTTTGGGGCCGGTGTGAGGTGTGCAGGAGGCAGCCCACTCATGATTCTCTCTCCTCGCGGATGTTTCTCTCTCTCCCTCTCCCTCTCCCTCTCCTCAATGATGAAAATCATTGATTGGCTGCCTCCTGCACGCCCCCTACTGGGGATCTAGTCCACAACATGGGTATGTGCCTTTGGAATCAAACCCGGGACCTTTCAGTCCACAGGCCCACGCTCTATCCACTGGGCCAAACCGATCGGGGCCAAAAATAGAATTTTAAGAGGATTAGATTAAAAATATATATAATCAGCCAAAACCGGTGTGGCTCAGTGGATAGAGCGTCGGCCTGTGGACTGAAGGGTCCCGGGTTTGATTCCAGTCAAGGGCATGGACCTTGGTTGTGGGCACATCCCCAGTTGCGGGGGGGAGAGGAGGGTATGCAGGAGGCAGCTGATGGATATTTTTCTCTCATCGATGTTTCTAACTCTCAATCGCTCTCCCTTCCTCTCTGTAAAAAAAAAAAAAAAAATCAATAAAATATATTTTTAAAAGGAAGGAAGGAAGGAAGGGGGGAGCTGAGAAGGCCAGGGAATCCCTGTTCCTACCTGGAAGCAGGCGTCTATCTGGGTTCAAATCCCAACATTCAGCCAGGGCCAGCATGGCTTGAGTGTTGACCTATGACCCAGGGGGTCAGGGTTCGATTCCTGGTCAGGGCACATGCAGGGCTGTGGGCTCCATCCGCAGTGTGGGGCGTGCATGCGTGCAGGAGGCAGCCGATCCCACGAGCCTGGGCCTTGACCACGGATGGCCACAGGGTGGCGGTACCCGCCTGCTGTGGGCCATCTGCCGGGGACATGCTGATGGGAATGCAGCGGATGGCACCTGCCTGCCCGC